ACAGCAGGGAGCTGTATCAAAAGAGGAGCAGCCAGGACTCGAACCAGGGCCCATATGGGATGCCGGCACTGCAGGCCAGGGCGTTAACCCACTGTGCCTCCTGGTGTATTCGGTCAGCTTCTGAACCCGAGGACGGAAACCCCGGGCCGGCTCACTCCACCCAGCAGAGGGTTCTGTCTGCACTCATGGCTCTGGAGGCTCACAGTCCCAGATCAGGCAGTCCCGACGGCTCGGCCTCGGGCGGTGGCGTCCTGTGTGCGTCTGCGTGGCCCCCCTCCATGTCGTCACCCTCAGGGTCCACTCCGATGACCCCTCGCACCCAGTCCCCCCCCCAGGCCCCGCCTCCAAGCCCTGTGCCTGGCTGAGGTCTCCACCTCGCAGCACCTTTGGAACTCTGGGCTCCTCTCTGGCCACCAAATCCCACTCAAACCACAGCACAGGGGGAGGCGATAAAACTGTCTCCGGGAGCCAGGAGGGCTCCGTGTTCACTCTGACTCGGCTCCCGGCCTCAGCAGGACCTAAAGCTCCGGCCCCACCCCAGCCTGAACGCAAGGGTGCCAAGCCCCAGCCCTCCTTGGCACCGGAAGCCGGCGGCAGGGCCCCCTCCCCACCGGGGAGGGACCGCCTGGGGGCCTTTCCCTTTGTCTCCGCCGCCAGCCCCACCCCACCCCTCGCCCGGCTGCCAAGACCCTGCCTCCTCCGCCCTGCACCTGGCTGCCCCTGGCACGGAGCCCCGGACCCCCGGCGGCGGCGAAGCCTCCCCCAGCTCCGAGCAGCTGCCAGGCCGTGCCGGAGCCGGCAGGCAATGTCTGGGCACCGCGTGCCACCCCGCCAGGCCTGGCGTGCCCACGTTAGGCTGACAGCCTGCACAGCCCTGCGCAAGCTGCTATTTTTAGTTTAATTGGGGAGTCGGAGGAGAGCGATGGTACCCAGCGAGGGAATTTTAAAAGCTTTCAGGGTGGGGGAGGGGGGCGAGAAAGCCAAGAAAAGTTGGTAATTATACGCCAGGCAGGGAGATTTGATGCTTGAACAGAAAGGTTAAATGTTACATTCAGAATAAAATGAGAACGAGAGCTCTGATGACAGTTGCCCGGAGCTAAATGAGCGAAGAAAACACCCCGTGCCCGGCACTCCTCTCCCCATGTGGGGTTCTGCCCCCTCCCCGGGTTGCGCACATGTCCCAGGTGCCGAGCACCAAGAGGACGGCCCCGGACGCCCGAGCCTTGACGTCAGCCGCAAGCGGCCTCTGCTCAAACCTCGGCAATTCGCCCCGCTGCATTTCCCAGGCTGAAGGGTCCAACGGGGCCTGGGAAGCTGGGAGGGCAGCCTGGCGCCAGGAGTAACAACACGGGCTTTAGTACAGGCAGACCCGGGTTCAAATCCCTGCTCCACCCCCGTCCGGCTCCTCCACCCCTCTCCGGCTTCCCAGCCTCTGCCCAACCTTCTGCCTCCCGTGAGCCAACGGTGAAGGGTCCTGGGCACACGGAACTGAGCCAGGACCTCGTCACGTGGCCCCGTCTAGGAGCCAGGGCCTCACACTGGGCTGTGGGGGGCGGGGGGCAGGGCACAGGCCCTGGCGGCCCTGGTGGTCTCTGTCCCTGCCCACATGCAGACTTTTTTCCGGCCCCTCCTCCCTGGCCAATAGGGGGCCTGCACGGCATGGTTGACAGTCCCCGGGAGGATGGGCACAGGTTCTGTGCCGAGGCTGGGCCGTGTCACCAAGGGAACTGGAGCATCCACGGAGCCTGGCGTGCACGGGGGACCCTGGAGGCAACTGAGGGCCAGCCTAGCTGTGTGCTTACCATCGGTGTCCCTGCCACAGCCGGTCCTCTCGAAACCAGAAACCTCGCTGACCCTCTCACCGCCACGTCCCCAGTGCCCGGGACCTGACGCGGAGCGCTGGAGGAGCGACAGGACGCGCCAGTGGAGGGACCTGAGGCTGCCGGCCCGGATCTGCCCTGCTCCCGGACCCCCTCAGCCTGGCCCCCGCAGGCTCACACCGGCCCTGTGGCGCCCCCATCCCCGCCCCCCATCCATCACAGAAGCCAGCACGGGTTCCAAACCAGATGTTTATTTGTGTATATAAAACAAGGCCCCAGGCGGGAAAGGCACCCCTCAGAGAGGACCCGGACCACACAGCCTGAAAGACTAGAACACTCAACTCCCCCCCTCCCCTATCAAAGCTGATCAGTTACTATTCGCTCTCGGCCCACTTAAAACCTAACCAACCGAGCCCAGTGGGATGACCCCAGGAAGGCGCCGGCGAACACAGGGTGGCTTCTAGGCACGGGGGAGGCCGGCCGACGGCCACGCCCACCCCCATAACGGAGCAGCTGGACGAGGCTTTCCCTGCACGGGGTCCAGGGCTGGCGCCCCATCCTCCCTCGGCCTGGAGCCCACTCTGCCAACAAGATAAAAACTCAGAGTCAAGAAACATCCAAAGCCAGCTAACTCTAACCCCGCCCCACCCCTGCCCCCTGCCCACCTCGTCCCCAGGCCCCTGGAGAGGCCACCGGCTCACACCCGGGCCCCCTCGTCATACTCCTCCCTGGTCATCCACTCCGACTTGTACGTGGACAGGTGGGCCATGAGCGACGCCCCGAGCCAGACGCTGAAATTCCTGTTGCTGCCCACCCAGAGCGTGGCCTTGGCGGAGGCGAAGTGCTCGGCCGACAGCTCCTTCTGCAGGCGCTTGGTGAAGCCGGGGTACAGCGTGTTCCCGCCGCAGGCCATGACGTGCGAGATGAGCTGCTCGTGCGTGGAGGCCTCGCACGTCTTGATGGACTCCACCACCATCTCCGGCACGCTGGGCCCCGGCAGGTCGAACACCTGCGGGCTGAAGAACATCTCGGGCGCCAGACGCTGCATGGGCGTCAGCTCGGCGGACGTGCCGTCGGGCAGCAGGTAGGTGTTGCTCTCGTCCGCGCCGCTCGGCAGGCTCTGGCAGAAGTCCAGCGCCTCGCCCAGGTTCTGCGGCACGTAGCACTTGCCCATCTGCGTGCCGGTCACCGTATCCAGCTGGAAGAGGTTGTGCGGGTCGGAGTGCTCCTTGAAGATGCTCTTGCGGAGGTAGGCAGCGAGGTCCTGGCCGGCGAACTCCAGGGTCTTGCAGCTGGAGGGGGAGGTGCGGCCCAGGTGGAAGGGCTGCACGCGGGTCAGGCCATAGCCGGAGTCCAGCACGGTGCCGGTGAGCAGCCCCGAGGCGTACAGCGACATCTCCATCTGGTTGGCCAGCAGCAGGGCCGGGACATCGAGCAGCTCAAACATGACCTGCAGCCCGGAGGCGGGGGACACTCAGTGGGTCGCCCCCAAACCCAGGGCCCCGCGCCCGCCCTGGAAGCTGACATCCTGGCGGGGCGGGGATGGGGACTCTTGGGCTGTCCCTCGGGACGCTGGGACGGGGGACGGGGTTCTGCGGCTCGGGTGTGGGAATGTGGGAGGGGCTCTGGGGATGACAAGGAGGCGGGAGTGCTTGGCAGGGGGAGCCTTATCCTCTTCAGCAGAACCTCTCCAAAGATCAAGACAAACTGAACTGCCAGCCCCGCCCCGCCCCACAGCCCCACCCCTGCCAGCCCCGCCCCACCCCGCCCTGCAGCCCTAACCCCACCCCTGCAGCCCCGCCCCGCCCCGCCCCGCAGCCCCAGGCCCACGCCTGCCAGCCCTGCCCCGCCCCGCCCCGCGGCCCCAGGCCCACGCCTGCCAGCCCCGCCCCGCCCCGCCCTGCAGCCCTAGCCCCACCCCTGCAGCCCCGCCCCGCCCCGCAGCCCCAGGCCCACCCCTGCCAGCCCCGCCCCGCCCCGCCCCGCCCCACAGCCCCAGGCCCACCCCTGCCAGCCCCGCCCCGCCCCGCCCTGCAGCCCTAGCCCCACCCCTGCAGCCCCGCCCCGCCCCGCAGCCCCAGGCCCACCCCTGCCAGCCCCGCCCCACCCCGCCCCGCAGCCCCAGGCCCACCCCTGCCAGCCCCGCCCCACCCCGCCCCGCAGCCCCAGGCCCACCCCTGCCAGCCCCGCCCCGCCCCGCCCCGCGGGCCCCACCCCTGCCAGCCCCGCCCCGCCCCGCCCCGCGGCCCCACCTCCAGCGTCTTGCGCCGGTCCGCGGGCTCCTGCAGCGGGGTCTCGGTGACGATGACGGGGGCGTCCTCGTGCTCCTGCCTGTGCCGCTCCAGGACGAAGGACCAGATGTGCTCGACGCCCTCCCAGTTGAGGACACGGCCGCGCTCCACGGGGTAGCTGAAGGTGTCGGGGTGGCACAGGTCGACGCCCAGGCTCACGCGCCGCCGGGCGTAGCTGGGGCCAGGGTTCTCCCGGCACGGGATGTAGTTCACCACGCTCGGGAGGATCATCTGGGGCTCGTTCCAGCCGGACAGGCCGGCCTTCAGAAAGGCAGAGCCGTGGTCGATGACGATGGTTTTCCCGGCCATGGCTCAGGCACGCGGGGTCTCAGGATGCTTGGCAAACCAGGGGACCTGTGGGGGAGAGGCTGCGGGTTACCTGCCGGCCTTCCGCCCCCGCGCCGGCCACCGGGCCTCTGGGAAGCTTGGCCGATTACCCTGCCACGCCGTTGCGAGCAGTGCCGGGCCTGGCACGCTCTCCCCGTGCCTAACTCATCCTCCTAGGAATCCCGCGCTGCGGCCACCTGCCCACTGCACTCCTCCCACTGCCCCAGGGCAGAGGCCGCGGGGAAGGTCTCTCTAGAGACTCAGCGAGATCCAGGGCGCGGGAAGGGCCTGGCAGCTGCTGGCTGCCCGCTTAGACGGCACGGGAATGCGGGTGGTACCGCTGCGGGCCAGCGGCTAGCGACCAGCAGGCGGGATGACGACCGGAGCGGCCTCTGCCGGGCACAGACCCTCTCCCCACTCCGGGAGGGACATTTTGCATATGAGATCGAGCTGTGGGAAACTCATTTGTGCTGGCCAAAAATGGCCGGGCATCAGCAGGAACACAGGAACGCAGCCCGTCTCCCCCACAGCCTACAGAGCAGGGGCCATCCTTGCACCCATCTTACAGATGGGGAGATCGAGGCTCACAGGGTTAAATTACCTTCCCAGCCCTTATAACCAACAAAGGCAGGGCAGGGGCACACACTGAACAGCAGGCAGATGTCGCTTGGGGGTGGGGGTAGGGATTACACCTTCACTTATTTGAAAATCAAAGAGACAGAGACAGAGATCTTCCATCTGCCAGTTCACTCCCCAAATGACTGTAACAGCAGGAGCTGGGCCAGGCCAACGCCAGGAGCCAGGAGCTCCACCCAGGTCTCCCGCACGGGCAGCAGGGACTCATGCTAGAGTCATCAGCGCTGCCCCCCAGGGTGCACTGGCAGGAGCCGGGGTCAGGAGCGGGGCAGGGACGGGACCCAGGTGGTCCAAGCACCCCAAACAGCACCATGCCCACAACTCCAGACGCCCGCCCCAGGAATTAGGTTTTGAATATGAACTAAGCAGCTTATTTTTTTAATATTATTTATTTGAAAGACAGTTATAGAGAGGCAGAGAAAGAGAGAGAGAGAAAGAGAGAGGTCTTCCATCTGCTGGCTCGCTCCCCAGATGGCCACAACAGCCAGAGTTACACCGATCTGAAGGTAGGAGCCAGGAGCTTCTTCTGGGTCTCCCACCTGAGTGCAGGGGCCCAAGGACTTGGGCCATCTTCTGCTGCTTTCCCAGGCCATAGCAGAGAGCAGGATGGGAAGTGGAGCAGCCAGCACTAAAACCGGCGCCCCTATGGAATGCTGGCACTGCAGGTGGTGGCTTTACCTGCTACGCCACAGCACTGGCCCCAGCAGCTAATTTATCATATAAAGGAGACTCCAAGCACGATGCCTCCCCATGGTGGTGATCAGTTTGCCTGTCAGCGCAGTGGGGTGATGGTCACCCCCGCGCAGAGGAAAGGCTGCGTCACTGCCCCAAGTCACTGCCTGACGCCCGATGCGCCATGAACAGCAGCAGCTGAGTGAGTGAGGCGCTAGTCAAAGAACCCTCACAGTCCCCAGGGATCTACGGAGAACGGAGTCCAGACAGGGATCTGTGCCAAGGAGCTCCGCTGGTCCTCGACGGGGCGCCTGAACAAGGAGGCGGAGAGGGGAGGGTCTTTGAACGAAACGGCACGGGGCACTCGGAGGTCTGTGTGCAGAACGGGGAGCACCCGGGTGTGCAGCTCACACCTTGCAGAATGTCTCTCAGGTGGATCTCAGACCGAACGTGAAGCCCAGAACCCACAGAACTTCTCCAGGAAGGCCGAGGAGAGACTCACGGGACCCCGGGTACAGCAAACTCTCCCGAGCTAGAACGGCCGAAGCTGGGGCTGGCCTTGCGGCACGGCAGGCACAGCCAGGGCTCGCGACAACAGCACTGCCGATCCCGGGTGCCTGCTGCCCGTCCTGTGCGCCTCTCCCAGCCTCCTGGATGCGCGCCCTGAGACACAGCAGCTATGGAATGGCCCGCGTATCTGAGCACCTGCCGCTCACCTGCGCCACCGATGAGGCTCTGGCCCCTGGCTGCTGCCGGCAGCTGGGGATGGGAGACCTATGCCTCTCCTCTATCCGTGGCACCTTGCCTTTCAAATAAATAAATGAACTTTTAAAAAAATCAGCCAGTTCATGTCACTGCTGCTCCGCTTCCAACCCAACTCCCTGCTGGTGTGCCCGAGAGGGCACAAGCATGGCCCAGGTGCTTGGGCCCCTGCACCCACATGGGAAACCCAGAGGAAGCTCCCGGCTCCTGGCTTCAGCTTGGCCCAGCCCCAGCTGTTGCGGCCATTTGTGGAGTGAACCAGCGGATGGACGATCTCTCTCTCTCTCTCTCTCTCTCTCTCTCTCTCTCTCTCTGTCTCCTCTCACCCTGTAACTCTGCCTTTCAAATAAATCTTAAAAACAATTTTTAATGAAATAAAATGAAGCATGTGAAAACTGCTCATCATCCCTAGTCATTAGGAAAATGCCAATCACAACCCCAACCACACAGCGCTGCACGTTGTCAGACGGCTAAGATGGAAGGCTGGCCGCAGCGCGCGCTGGCAAGCAGGTGCAAGGACCGGAAGTCTCCAGCGCTGCCGCTGTGGTGAAAGGCGGCACCGCCACTCCGCAGCTGGTGTGGCGTCTCTACCAGCGGCAAACGTGCACCTGCCCTCCCGCCCCTGGTGTTCACCCAGGAAGCCGAAGCGGAGATCGGACACGCACACATTTCTATAGATGTATTCACAGTCGCCATAAACCAGAAAAAGCCCAGACAGGGCACGGGTAAACAGGCCTCCGTTCAGTGGAGTGCCACCTGGCAGAGAAGGAATGGCCGGCAGGTGCGCAGAGCGACAGGCTACAGCCGGCTGCATAAGCACAATCCTAGCAAGTTCTGAAACGGCAGCACAGGAAGCCCCGAAACAGAGGAGTGGCTGCCAGCAGACAGAGGGGATGAGGGGGCTGGCGCCTGGGGTCACGGCCAAATGGGGGGATGTGATACAACTGTGCTCTATTTTCTTCTCCTCCTCTTTTTTTTTAAGATTGATTGATTGATTGATGGGCCTGGCATTGTGGTGAAGCAGGTTAAGTCCCTGCCTGCAATGCCAGCATCCTGTACGGGCGCCAGTTATTTTTTTTCCTTTTTTTTTTTCTTTTTGACAGGCAGAGTTAGACAGTGAGAGGGAGAGACAGAGAGAAAGGTCTTCCTTTTCCTGTTGGTTCACCCCTCAAACGGCCGCTACAGCCGGTGCTGCACCGATCCGAAGCCAGGAGCCAGGTGCTTCCTTCTGACCCCCCTGGGGTGCAGGGCCCAAGCACTTGGGCCATCCTCCACTGCACTCCCGGGCCACAGCAGAGAGCTGGACTGGAAAAGGGAGCAACTGGGACAGAATCCGGCGCCCCAACCGGGACTAGAACCCGGGGTGCCGGCGCCGCAAGTGGAGGATTAGCCTAGTGAGCCGCGGCGCCAGCCAGCGGGTGCCAGTTCAAGACCCCGTTGCTCTACTTCCAATTCAGCTCCCTGTTAATGCACCTGGGAAAGCAGTGGAAGATGGCCCAAGTGCTTGGGCCCCTGCACCTGCATGGGAGACCAGGAAGAAGCTCCTGGCTCCTGGCTTGGGCCTGGCCCAGCTCCAGCTGTAGCAGACATTTGGGGAGTGAACCAGTGGATGGAAGACCTCTCTCTCTCTCTTTCTCTCTCTCCACCCACCCGCCCACCCACCCTCCTTTCTCTGTAACTCTGCCTTTCGAAGAAATTTTTAAGATTAATGTATTAATTTAGTTATAGAGAGAGCAGAAGAGACAGATCTTCCATCTGCTGGTTCACTCCCCAGATGTCTGCAACAGCCAGGGCTGGGCCAGGCTGAGGTTAGGAGCAGGAGTTTCCACTGGGTCTCCTACATGGGTGCAGGGGACCAGGAACCTGGGCCATCATCTGCTGCTTTTCCCAACGCATTAGCAGGGAGCTGGAGGGGAAGTGGAGCAGCCAGGACACAAACCAGCACCCGTATGGGAAGCCGGTGTCACAGGTGCAGGCTTAACCTGCTCGCCACAACGCCAGCCCCCTCAGATAAATTTTTAAAAAGTAAAAGTAAATGTTAAAAGAAGATTGTTTAATTGTTAATTTGAAAGGCAGGGTGAGAGAGAGAGAGAGAGAGATCTTCTATGTGCTGGGTCACTCCCCAAAATGGCTCTGACCACCAGGTTTGGGCCAGCCTGAAGCCAGGAGCTTGGATCTCCATCCGGATCTCCCACGTGGAGGCAGAAACCCAAGCACCCAGGCCACCTCCTGCCACAGTCCCAGGTGCACCGGCAGGGGCCTGCACTGGAAGGGGAGCAGCCGGGGCTCAAACCAGCACTTCCATATGGGATGCCGGCGTGGCAAGTGCCAACTCAGTCACCGGTCCACAACGCGCGTCCCTGTGCCGTACCTCGCCTGTATGTGTGTGCCACAACTCTCACAACGAAATCCTTGCTAGAGGGAACATGCCTCTCGGTGAAGGCTGCCTCAGGGACGAGGCAGTGGGTGTGGGCCAGCCAGGGACAGGTGCCCGAGGCCCCCTTGCAGAAGACAAATCGTCACACGACAGCAGACTGCGTGCCCACACTGGCTGTGGGTGTTTCCCGTACGAGAGCCTTCCAACCGGAAGCCACGTCTCCAGGCTGTCGCGCGGCCAGCCACCTGCTCTGCTCAATTTCTGGACAGCACTGCATCTGCCCATCACGACTGAGCGTGACAGCCCTGCCCGGCCCAGTGGCTTCCCGCTGGAACCAGCCCTGGGTAGCGAGCAGGCTCCCCGGCCTTGACCGAGCTCTGACATCAGACCCGGGAGAGGCGGTGGAGGAGAGGAGCCTGCTGGCAGGTTGAGTGATGGATCTCTTGGACTGGATCACCTGGAGTGATGGAGATGCGGACGCCGGGATGACATTCCGGGAAGCGGGCTCTGTCTCTGCCTCCCTCCCCCGCACCATGAGAGCAGAGTGACAGATGGATGCGCCCGTGGCCCCAGCGTCTGG